GTCAAATTATATGATAAAGCCCCATTTGAAAATTATCTCATGCCCCATCTCAGTCCAAAGTACTTGTGTCTCAAGAAATTAATGATATCAAAGATCTTGAGAAATCCCCCCAGTCCATATTTCAAGTTCATAATCATTACTGAAATTCCAAGGGAAAAAAAACTCGTATCTTTCCATGTTTTCTACCAACATCATCCTGCCACAACTAGCCTCACCTCAAAATAGAAGCAACTATGTAGGCCTGCACTCAGTAATCTAAACACAATAATTAGAGAAAAACATATTAAGAATTTGATAAAATGATTACACACATGTGCACACACGCACACAAATTATCATTTGAAACACCTATCACATCAATTTACAGCAAATACTGGAAATATAAGACAAGCAGATATATTTTACATGCAAAGTGGGAGAAATGTATTTAAATCTTCCTAGGAAGATGGTTACATCTAGAACACATATTATTAATAAGCACTGGACAGCAACCTACTCTGAGCCCTTTGGATAGGAAAGGTTATAAATCTAATAAAAAATTAATAAAAGCATTTAGCTTCAGTTGTTATTGGTTTTGTTAGTTATTTTTAGAGTTATAACAGAGAATATATTTGAGAATTATTATATGTATTTTCTAAAGAAAGATTCACAAAATAAAATAAATTACGTAAACTTAACTGAAGTTTAATCAAAATAAGTAAGCAAAGTTGCTCAGTTACAACAAGTAGGACCAGCATTCAAATATTTTTAATGATAAGACAAATGATTTAGAATCACGTGATCCCAAATAAGCTCAATACTAATACAAATATCCTACATTTTAAAACTACACAATACCAGAAGCCATGATTAAATCAAGTTTCCCATTTTCTAACTTACACCTTTTCCATTTTTTTCCTGAGTATGACCAACTGTTTTGTAAGTGTGAATCATTCAATATAACCTCACTATCAATATGAATGTTTTTAACTCCTTAGCTGCAGGGATTTGAAAAAAAGCACAGGATTTTAGAAAAAGGCACAGAGAAACTAAATGACTTTAGTACCTGTCCTCTACTCCCAGTTCTATTTTGCACTCTGAATATTTAATAAGAAGTAATGCAAAGTTATATGCATATATTTTATTCCAAGAGTAAACTGTGCCGATACATACCTTAACACCAACATCTTTAACAATTTCTTCTAATTTTTATATATCCTAATTCTTTCTCTGGGTAGAAAGTACATGTACATCAATCTGATCCCCATCTCAAAAGCTGCCTTACTATGGAATTGTAATGGGAGCATCCCATGAAGACACTTGTTCATTTCCAGTCAGACTGTTTTCTGACCCAGGAGTTTATTACTAGAGAAAAGCAAGTAATAGGACCAAACCTACCCCTCCCCCCCCCGCACTCGTATCATAATACAGTTACAGCATTTTATATATGGAAAATACTGAAACTCATGATCTTTAATTTGTAACCATATCTCACAAATGCATAGCCATGGAATTTCTATCGATTCAAAAAAATGCTACTCAGTCCAAATCTTCAAGATACAGGAAGAAATAATCAGCTAACCAGAGGAAAATATTTAGATTAAGTTACTGCAAATGAAAAGAATTTAAAATATTAATCATTTACTGCCCTAACCAGTAGTTGTTCACCTGAATTTGCCACACTTATGTCTTCAAACCAATACTGATGTCACTGAAAGACAAGGGCTCATGGAAGTCATATGCCAAGTAAAAGGGTGGAAACTGAAGGCTAACTTTTACATCACATATTCCATCTTGAACAGGTTTTATAATTAAACTTTAAGGCCAGGGGCAGAAATTACATAAGAAACTGGTATAAGTGATTGGACACTGATTCAAATCTGTAACACAACAGAAGTTCAGTGCACATAAACCACTTTCAAAATAGCTGAAATGAGTGTAAAATAAACTAGATGCATGTAACATCAGACTTAACTGATATAGATTAAATCAGTTTACTGAACTTCTGCCCCAAATCCCTTCCAGATTCAAATTAACTCACAGTCCCCCAGCATCCCAGGATATTTTACACCTTCCTCAAAAATCCCTCTATCAAGGTGGGCAGGCTAGCCTTGGCCCAAGCTGTCTGCTCTAGCTGAGCAAGGAGGTGTGCTCTAGCACACCCCAGCTTCTGGCCTGGGCCATTGCAGGCATGTGCCTGCACGTCCGGAAACAAAAGTGAATGTCTATTCACTTCCTCATTAGTTCAATCTACCTGAGAAGACTAAATTGATTCAGCCTCAGGCTTTTTGACTGTCTGTACTTATACTAAAAGCACAGCACAATCTGAGGTCACAGTTGCATTGAAACAGATTTTATTCACATAATTTTTACTGGCCTTGGCTCATGATTCAAATTGGCAGTGAAATTTAATATTTTTAATAGAGTCACAATTTAATAAGGAACATTTTAAATGATATATTTTGAAATTAAAAAACCCTTAAAATTATAAACATACACAGGACATGAGAAAAACTTTTGCAAGCTTTTAAAATGGCACAAAAATGACTCTACAGGGAAACAGTCAAGTTCAGTAAGAGCAAAGGGTCTCATCTTGCAACAGTGTCTTCAACTCCCACAGACCTTGACTGTTGAAGTATGCTCATGACCTCTGGGAGTGCTCTACAACACTGAGCCAAAATGAGCTTAGTGCCAACAAGCACAAAATAATAATAGTGCAATAACTGAAATGTCACACACCCTCCACCTGAGACACAAACTTTCCATCTATACTGGCTTTAACTCTTGCTTTTAAGTTTAGTGAGTATACAGTTTTGAGATGTCATTGAGCCATCTACAGGAGACACTCACTGCTGTGTTGCCTAATTCGCTCCATAGTAAATGTCTCGGCATCTACATGTGTGGCCCTATTAGGCCACAGGAAACTAAAAAAAACTCTGTAGCAGGCTAGTACTTGTACTATCTTATGACAGGTTTTCCGTGCGTAGCAATGCATATGCAGATGCTGACCCAGCTGGCTGGGGCAGAAGGGTGCTACAGAACAAGGGCTATCGGCTAGCCCTGCACTGAAGCATTCTTGTGCCCCAGCCAGCCCCTCCACAGGACTCTGAGCCAAGCTGGAACAGCCCTGGGCTAGTAGGCTGATCCCCCAGGTCCCAAGCAAGCCAGGGCTGCTCCAACATGGCTCAATGTGCTGAGGTCCCAGGTACATATATAAACACAGCACCTGGGAACAATAAATTCTGGTGCGATATGTACCAGAGTTTATTGCTTTGCATTAATATGCATGTGTAGATGCACCCATTAACAAGTTTAAAGTGCCCCTTTCCATTAAGCATACTAGGCACTCGGTTTTTCAATTAACATAAGAGGTTTCCTTTGCAATGGTTATTAATATTATAATTCAAGAAGGATTGAGGGGGCATTGTTTTAGTTAATATTTCTTTCCCCGCTGAAACACACTTATCACACCTAATTTTGCAACCTCTTGGGGTCACAGACTTGTTACCTGGATTCTAGCAGGTTGGCTACTGATAGATGAGGCAAGAGATTGGTCTACCTCTCAACTTTTTATGGCCTATACCTCAAAACACAAAAGCAAATAGCTCTCTCAAAGTCTATCTGGTTCCCCATGACAGGACAACATAGATTGTTACCCAGATTGGCTAGGGAGACTCAAGAGGGGGAGGAGGGTGACATGAATATCTTTTTGAATTTGCCAAGTTCTCCATATTTCCCTCCAACAGTTTATACTCTGTATTTATAGACAACTTATTCTAATATTCTATAAACATTCTCCAATTGGATTTAAATTTCTGTTTCACTGAAACTTTTCAGATTGGACTGAACCAGACCCCTTGTGAACTTAGATGGCAATCAGCTGGTATTTACATCCTTAGCAAAGTAGAAGGGAAGTTTTGTATTTCCTTCTTCATCACCATGGAATGCTGCTTGCCATCATCCTGTTTTCTCTTCACCTCTGTTTATGGCTTTTACTGACAAAGGTCCTTTGTTTTTACAACTTATTTAGGAAACTTAACTAAAAATACAGCAAAACAACATCTAATGCATTTGGATACTACTGGGGCGTAGGTTGTAGCTGTGTTGGTCTAAGGAGATTGACATACCCAATTACCAGTGGGGGCACATTTCTCACAAGAAAACCACTCTCTCCAATCTCTCAGTCCTGATCCTCAAAGAAAACTTACAAAACACTTCCTAGAAATGAGCCTCTGAACTCAACTTCATCAACCTCCTGGATACTAAAAATCATGGACTAAATATAGACATTGGATTTATGACACATTATAACCTGCCTGACATCTGACTCCCTAGGTATCTCTCCACTTTTCATCCCCCTTCTCTCTCTCCCACCCCCCCCCACCCAGCCTGTCTCTCACCCATTGACTCCTCAATCTACATTTTCACTGACTACCTGTCTTGTATGCATACCAGACCAGTCTCTGGCTTCTTTACTTTTCATTCCATCTAGGAAGAGCACACACCAACTGCTGAAACTTCCTTAGCCTGACAAAGGGTTTTTGAACTCGAAAGCTTGCTTAATAATTGTTTTCCAGCTATTTTAGTTGGTCTAATAAAAGATATCAAAATCACGCAAAGAACCTTGTCTGCCTTTGGTTACTACTAACATTTTAAGATAAAGTTATAATATATTTGGATTTAAGGTATTTTATAGAATCTCTTTTCCAAACTTGTGCTCTGTTTAATTCAGGGATGGGCAATTATTTTGGGCAGAGGGCTGCTTACTGAGCCATCCAGGGCTCCATTATAGGCAGCCAGGGGCAGATTAATATTAATTTTCTAATCTTTTTAGGGGCACCATGGGCCAGATAGAGTGGCCTGGCAGGCTGCATCCGGCCCCCAGGCCACATTTTGCCCACCCCTGGATTGGATCTCATTACTGGTTTATCTAGATACATTGATTGCTTCCTTCACTTTTTACAGTTTACAATTCCACACTATCGTACCACACTGTCATTACCTTCTCATCCTCTCTTTTCCATTTCTATCAAACATGCTGAAGGCTGATCTCCTAATTAATCCTGATGATAAAATACATGGTTTTTCTTCTTGTGCACAATTTCTTCACCAGAAATCACTTGGTATTAGTTGTGTGCACTTCATGCTTTATATATAAATTCAAATAGGAGCATTTATTAAACTGAGTTTCTAGAAGTTACATTAAATACAAGCTAGTTGTCTACAACCATGCATTCTGCTATTACTAAGAAACACTTGGGGGGCTTCTGCTTTAGCTATGCTTCTGCAGCTTGGCCTAGGCTTCTTGAAAATGGCCAACACTGGCAACAGATTGCATATATCTATGTCCTTGTACAACACCTAGCAAAATAGGAGCCTCATCTTAATTAGGGGACTGCTGCAATACTGGAGAAACGTTATTCCAAAGCTAACTGCTTTTTCACTGGTGACCCTGGGTTAATTCTTATCCCATTAAGTCCATCTCAATTTTGCTGTCAACATCAATGACACCAAAATTAAGCCTCTGATCCTTAATCCTATGGAAAGTGAACTTGCAATTCAATGCTACTTAAACTAAACATATGTACTACCTTTAAATACTCTATAATGAAAAATACTGGTAGTGTAGTATATATTTAAGAATCATTTAAGACATTTTAGGTTCAATGAAAATCAGTCAAATTTTATGAACCATGATTCACAGAGTATTTGCCAATGATCCTGATGTAATGATGGTACTCCTGATTTCTGGCCACTAAATTTTATGTAGAGAAGCTAAAACTTCATTAAATACTTCTCTAGTATTGTGTTGCATTTAAGAAACTGCTGTAGTTGGCACAGTAATGTAAATTTAGTTCCTAAAAGAAACAGTGACCTAAAGTTTGTTAATTTTATTTATTTGATTTATAGGCTACCCTTCCCAACAAAGGCCCCTCTTCACCGTTCATGTCTGTTAAGCATAGTACAAAACATACAAAACATTGAGAACCCTTGATATATTAAACTCAATCTGCCTTGCAATGTTGCATAAATATTTCTGCTAATTACCACACACAGCCAATTTATGAGTACCTAGTCTTTATTTTTTTTATATTGAGGTAGGGCATGATTAAACACACCTTCAACATGCAGTAGTATATTTAGTTAATGCAAATAATTTTCTCTCTCTTTTTATTCTCACTACCATCACTTCCATCATACCCAACACTGCTTAGGGCACTAGTTCTCAGCCTTACTGATCTTGTACCCCAGCCCTCCAACCCCATACAACCACAACTCGCATCCAATTTACCCCACAATCCCATGCTGAGGGAACCAGGTATCTCCCCTGTGGTCTCCTTGCTAGGAAGGCTGCAGAACCACCAGACCCAGATTCGCACATGCTGGTTCTCAAATGGAAGAAGCATAGCTACGTACATGCAGATTTGTTCCTGGGCTAATTACCTCCACACTAAGGCAGTTCAGCTGCTTCCCATCTGGGAGATAACTCACACAGAACAGACCAGCATCTTAGTACAATTCTGCCCAGTGCTACAGGAATGTTCAGGGTGGGGGGGTCTGCTGACCCCTCCCTTCTAGCAAGCACCCCCTTTCTTTATACACTACCAAACGATAACTGTTGGTTTAAGGCAAATCACGTTGCCCATGCAAATAGTACAACAGAACAATTCTGACAATAAAAATAACAGAACAAGATGCCTGTATATCAGGTAATTCTTGGTAAACTAAGCTACATGACTATTCCAGAATAACAATGCAATTTTTTATGTACGTACTGCAATTTTTTAGAGGTCTAACCTCCAACTCCCCTTTCCCCCATTTCTAACAGGGACTTATTTTCAGTGCCTTAATATTTCTAGCTATTTTACTGTGTGACGTATTTACTTGGAGTTCATCCATTTAGTACATTTCTAGCAATTCTGCCTTTCTATAATAGCTGATTCAATTAGAATAGACTTGCAGGACCCATATGGTTTTATCAGTCACTGTATAAATGTGCAGAAAACTACCCCTTGAGGCAGTAACCCTATTTAATCATTCCCTTAAAGCATATACTGCCCTATTTTCCAGATGGCATTTAACAGATGAGGCCTGCAAGTCTCCTGCAGAGGACTGGTACACTGCACAACAGTCTGTCCTAAGAAGAAATATCTATTTCAGCAGCTTTAGGAAACAAGTTCACAACCATGAATCTTTAAAAAAGAGCAACCTACCATTACTGTCAGGGACAGACCTAAAGATTTTAACCTCTCAAATATTATTTTTCTCCCCACAAAGTATTATTTGATCCACCAATGTTTATTTTTCAGACATTTGCTAATTACAAAGACATTCAGATGCACATAGAAATGGAATACACTTAAGTTATTGAGAGGTTGATGGATCTCAACCATTATTATTTACTATAAGACAACAGGCTAAACGCAAACAGGGGTCAGGAAGCTCAATTTCCCTCATATAATCCTCTGAGGAGGAAGTATTTGGGAGGCTGCAGAGAAGGCAGTCTTTTAGACCCCTAGATCCTTGGGATTCATGGGGAAGTGACCTCTCCCAAACTCCAATCCTTCAAAGGACTGGATACTCCAGGCTGCTCCTCTGGACCCTTCCTGTAGGAACTCTGATACTTCTTGCACCTATTCAAAAAAAAAACAGAACACACACAAAAAATGAGGGGGAATTTGGTGCAGAAGCGTTAGTTAGCACTGTGCAAAACAGGATTAAATTAGGTATAGCTATACATCATTTTTAGATGAAGAGGTGCATGGGGAAATAAAAGACAATGCTTTTCTCTGAAACCATGTGCTCAAGAGCAGCTTCCACATGACCCAAAGACAATGCCCCAGAGGCACTACTCACCCTTCTCTGACCCCATTGCTACCTAGTCTATCATAATCTGACCCCAAATTTTAAGCAACATATTGTTTTCTGAACCATTACAACTGATTACTAGACCATTAGTCTATTTTTTAAAGGTGGCAATTCTGCTTACTAAATCAGACATTTATTTAGATGTTCATCACTTTCTTGTGTGAAAACAACTGTTCTAGTTTTCAGATGTTCATCACTGAAAACATCTGTAAATATTGTTTAAAAAATGAACATTTTTTAAACAATATTTACATCCCTGCTCTTGAGATTCCATTGCAGCCCTGCATTTTTATGATTCTACAAAATGCAGAAAAGCCAGAATGACTGGAAAGTTCATTAGGTTATCCCAGCAATAAATCTCAGTATGGTATTTCAGAATCGAACTAAGCTAGATGAATAAACACTATTTAGCTTAACTGTTATCTTCTAGTTTATCCTCTATTTTATCCACAGGCCTCTTCCTTGCACCTCCCTATGCCCATTCAACAGGGAGAGGGAGAATGCATCAGCTATGCCTTCTGGGAAGCTGATCTGCTAATCCCTTTTAAAAAATAGAGCTGATCAAGATTTGAAGTCAAGATGGCTTAACAGCCAAAAACAACTGTATAATGAAGTTTCCCAATAATTGTGATATCCCTATTCAAGTCAGAACAGGGAGGGAGAGAAAAAGCCAAAATCTGCTTTCCATGTCTCTCTCATAGTGCACGTACTGAAAGGTCATGGCATCAGAGACAGTTATCTAAGCTTCACTTTACATTCTTCAACCCAAAGTTGGTTGACAATAAAACAAACATCATCTATTACTTGACCCGAGGAAAAAAAAACACTTATTTCTATCAACCACACATGGCTAAATAAACAAATACTGCAAGACTGTAGCTTAAGCTGAAATTCAAATGAACTAGCTGAACGTGGATTGAATGTAAAATAATGAAGTGAAATTATATCCAACAAGCTTCAAACATTGCATACACTTAGCAAACACCAATTAATCAGAAGATTTTTATAATTGGTTTTTCATGAACATATGGCTTCAAGTCTTCTTTCTGTTAATCAATTATCTATAACTGCCCATCTCCCCATAAATTACTCTTAACAATAGCATTAAAAATTAAAGCACTACCCCATTACAATACAAGAACTCTACTTTATTATTTGACTGCTTGTATTTAAAGGAAAAAAATCCAAAATGTTCAACTGCTCCTACATTTTTGGAAAAAATTAAAAATCTATTTTTCAAAATGCTGAGAATTAACCATGACCACTTGGGCTAGGAGACCAAAGTACTACATTGTCTAATGGTGATATTATGAGTTAGAGGGAACTACTTATTCAGACTGTAACATGCACTTTCACTGAGTAATTTATTAAGCAGTGTAAGCAAGAATATACATTTCAATGTCTTCATAATATTTCCATAAATGTCTCCACTCATTTAACTCTGTGATTACCTTTCAAAAATGGTTGCATGTATACAAAAAAATATGTCTTCTTGGCTCTTGAATACATTAAGCATGATGCAATCACATTTTGTTAAATTAAGCATAGCAGCCAATCTCTCCTCCTCCAAATTCAAACGTGCATAATTGAAGACAAGAGAAAGTTGTTTGTTTTTTTTTTAATGGTGCAAACAAGATGTGCTGAAACTTGGATATACTGGAATAATCACAGGCCATCAGTTCGGAGTAAAACTACATTTCAAGAGAAATACAAATACCAGATTTGGTTAAATCTGACTGATTTGTAATTGTAAATATCCAGATGGTACATGACTAAACAAATTGCACGTTTTATGAAGAAATATGACCTTGATAACCAACTAAAAAAAATAAGCATTTTATTTATGACATTTTTCAAAGCATAAAACAAACTCATAACAGGTCCAAATGGAAACCTGTATCTCACATTTACAAGTTTGTCAGAAGCATTTCAGTCTTTGTAAAATGCATGCATATACTGAATAGCCCAAATCCTCAATTACAGCCAAAGAGTGAATAACAACTATCAGGCAAGGGGATGCAAAGGTGGCCTCTGAGCTTTGCTACCGGCCTCTGCATTTAATAAAGGCATTTTAGCTAAATTACTAATTGGGTCATTCAGATTCCAACACTCCTATCCTGAGCCAACAATACCAACTGCGTCAATATCCTCGTAAAACCTAAGTGATGCTTTCTGTTTTTCTTGTTTTCAACTGTGTGACAAGAGACATGCATGTAGTGGCTGAGAACAATAAAAATAAATACACAAACCTGTCCCCTTGCCCCTTCGCTTCAATTCACACTGCTACTTCAGAAGCATCACGAGGCAAACTCTATGCTCCCAAAGCTCCCCTTAAAACTAGGATTTTCCTTTCATAGCTGGCTACGGATATTCTAGAGCAACTCTGCATCAGTGATACAACATTTAGACAGGGCCCAATATGTTTATTAGAGTGCTACATTTAACAAAAATGTCACAGATTTCACAGAAGTCCCCCCAACAGCTTATTACTTTGGGTTTATGTGGTTTGTACCAGCTTCCCCAGTTTTTGAGCCAGAAGTTTCCAAGGCAAGCAATTAAAGTAACTTAAAGATCAGTTTGGGAATAAGACCAAATGTGAAACCTCAGAAGTGTACCCTAGAAAAGTGTAACCAGTTAACATTATATAGCAGTCCCACTGCTCTCAGCTAAGGAATACTGTTTGACATTACATTCAGAAACGCACGTTTTAGAATTCTTCCCACTTATTTAATCTGACTTACCACTGAGCACTGTTAAGACTAAAAGAAAAAGTCACCTATTACATAAAATTATTAGCAATTACATTTTAGAAACTAAGTTAAAAGAATGTAATTTAGACTTATTTAGGCTATAGAAGTAAAGCATTTTAAAACTGGGAAATGCCAGATTTACAGTTGCCTCTGCAACCTTAATTCTGCTCCCTTGTGTGTTCATCCTCTTCACTGACTAAAGCAGGAATCATGTGGGTAGGGAAAGTGCAGGCTCATGTATTATACTGTATCATAACATATAAATACAAGATAGAAGAATTAAGGCTGCACGTTGTGCATCTTGCACTTAACTTTCAAATGCTTGACTTAGCAACCTAAGTAACATTGTTTTAATACACCTTTTGAGCTTTGCAGAACTGAGAAGGGAGGGAAGGACCCAATGAAGTTTCTAAAGAAGAGCAGCAAGCCAGCACAAAAAGGAATCTAATAGAATGTTTACAACAACGCTAAATACCCCTTCACTGAACACCCTGAGCAAGGTTTAACCCCAACGCTTCAACAGCACAGCACATTCGAAATTACACAGCTAAACGCATTAGCTGGCAGCATGGTTGGAGAGTTGGACCACATGGATTGTGCACTTGGTCCACAGGGACTGTCCAAGGGCCCAGCCCACTCTCTTCACCACCATATTATGCCCAGGGCTAGGGATCAAAAAAAAGAGTAGAAAGGAGGACAGAAGAGGAAACAGGGAGCAAAAGACCCTCTGCAGCTCCTTTCTTGGTCCAGGAATGCAGGGAGATTGTCACGAAAGTCAGGCCCAGCTCAGCTGCCCCACTACAGCTGTTCCAACAGCAGCCAAGTTAATTGTTCCCAGTGCAGCATCAGCTGCTACTGCTTTTGGCAATGGTGCTGGCCTGGTCAATTAGAACATTCACATGTTGAGATATTATTTTGGTGTGCTGCCAGAATTTTATGAAGCAATGCAAATGACAGAAAGGAAGTCATGGTTTTCAACTGTTTATATTTCATGGGATCAAGAAATAAAAAAAAGTTATCTAGCCTGAGGATTCCCCACTGCCAAATTTCAAAGCCTGAATAACAATAAAGGTTAATAAGAGCTCTACATAGAGGCTGTACAGATTCTCTATAAAGGAAAGTTTAGACAACCTGAATAGAGGGATTTTTCCCAGTTCCCCTTATAGCACAGTATGTCAGGACTCTACTTAGCTTCCCTTACTCATATAAAACTTTTAATGAACTCCAGTGGGAGATCTACTTGACTAAGGAAGGATTATAGTCCTAAATACCTTAAACTTATAAAACATCTTTCATTTTACAAATGTCACACATACAGAAATTACTATATTCAACTCTGAAACAGTGCACTACAGAGAGAACATAGGTATTAATGAGCACCCAAGTAACAATAGACAACTAAGGCTAGAAAATGAGTAAAGAGTGCCATATATACTAGGCAAATTTAGGTCATGAAAAAATTGACCCATATTGTCATTTGGCCCATTTCAATTGTCAAAAGCAACAGGATTTTTAAATAGAAACCAGGACCTTAGTTTTATATTTTATTCAAATGACAGCACATCGAAATCTGGCACCGTGCTAAGTTATTGATTTAGTACTAACCCAAAGAAAACAGTGCCATCTAGGAAATCACTACACTACTTCCTGTAGCATCCAGTGGTTCTCTTGGAGGTCTCCCATATAAAGTGCAGCCCAGTTTAAGCATGCAAGATGATAC